GAACTAGAATAAAGATTATCATATAAGTATTGAATAAAATTGTCAAGTGTAACTGGTTCCAGCATTTGAGATAAGTTATGCTATTTTATAAATTTGTTATAGCATTTGTCTATCTCTGTAGAGGTTGAAGCATTAAAAGTAGAAATAGTATTTGTATTGTCTTCTACAGATTTGCTTACCATTTTAAGCTTGGCTTACATAGCTGTTAAGTATATCATAACCTGCTCTGTATGTTGAGTCTGATCATCATAATCCTGGTCCTTCACTATATAATATAAAATTAAATTGATTTAAATAGCTAATCAAAAAAGTCTTTTTATAAATTTAATCAAATATTAAAAAAATATAATATATATAATAAATGTTAAGTCTGTTATAAATATTATTTGACATAGTTAAATTAGAAAAGCATAGTGCAAATGAAGCTTTTATTCTATAACTCTAATAAACTTTTTATATATTTTGTTTTATTATATAAATAATATAAAATTAAATTAATTTAAATAATAATTATATAAAAGACTTTTTATAAATTTAATCTAGATAAGTAAATATACTTATACTAAGTTACTAATAGAAATTAATCAATAATAACTTTATTATATACAATTTTAGTTAATATATAAATAGTTATATATATATTTTTTCTTTTATAAAAAATTGCTTATCTTTTGTAATTTTAATCAACAATTTTGCTTTTTTTACAAAACTTCAATAACTTTAAATTTTTGTTAAAAAGCTATCTTTTACAATCCAATTAAAAAATATTTCTTATAAAATTCTACTAATACTTATTTATTAATCTAATAATAATCTAAACTATAATACAATTAATTTTATATATAATTTTTACTTATAAAATAAAAATAAGCTTATTTTAACTTAAATTTTGATTTGTTAAAATTATAAAATTGAACAATATTTTATAAAAAAGTTATTAATAAACATTTAATTTTTTATTAATTTTACATATTTAAATTGGTTTTATTTAGATTATCTATAATAAAAATATTTAATAATAAAAGTGAATTTACAAAACAGTTTTGTTTAAATATAATAAATATGTAAATTTTACTAAAAGAAAAAATATATAAATAAAGTTTACAATTAAATTAAAAGAATTTAAAAATATTAAACAAAATCTTAATAATCTTAATATTTCTCTTATTGAAATGTTTTTCTGTTTTTTATAGTATTTAAATAGTAAATATTAAATTTTTAAATAAATATTATTAACTTCTTATATTATAAACTATACTTATTTTTTAAATATTCAAGATTTAACATAACTCATAGTTTAGTATCTGCTATTAAATTTTATTAGTAAAAAAAAATCTTATTATATTTCAAAATAAATTTTAGATTTATATTTAAAAAAAGTAAATACAAAATTTGTATTTTAACAAATCATTAGATTTATAACAAAAAACAATTAAAGAAGTATTTAAAAAACTGTTAATAACTCAACTTAATAATATTAATTTTAAAAATTCCAAGACAAGTCAAATAAAAAAAATTATAAATAAGTTCTATTTAAATACTTTAATTGATAAAATTAAACAAATCAACAAAAATAAGCATATTCTCAATCTAAAGATACAAATCAAAAACAACAAAGTGTATTGTGACTAAAAACAAATAAAACTTTAAAAAATATTTATAATAGTATATTTATTTCTATAACAATAATGAATAAATTTGAAATAGATAGTATTTTAGAATTATTTTTATTACTTAATGCCAATAAACTAAAAAACTTTATTATTCAATTTAAAATTTTTTATTTATAAAGAAGTTTTTACTAATAAAGTAATAACAAAATATTATTTTAATCTTTTTGACAAAATTAATTAATTATATCAAAAAGAACAATGATCAAATAATAAAATTAGTAGTAGATTTGAACCAAATTAAACTTACAGATATGAAAATTTATATTATATAATCTATATACAATCAATTTTGTATTAGTAGCTAAATCTGTGATGTAAGTAATAAAGCAAATAAGCATTCAAATATTATTTAAGTGTATAGTGCAACTAAGGTCATTTATTTTGTATCTGAATCCATAATCTTTTAAACTGTTAATATTAAGAATTTACTTAAATTTGATCAAATTTTTTAGAAATATAAGAACTTAAATAAACAGACTTTGAACAATCATTAGTAATACTTGATATTATAATAACTAAAATCTATTGACATTCCATATCTGACTAGTTCTTTGAAATCTCTAAAAATTAAAATTACATAAAAATATCATAGTGAATTAACTGGGTTAAACAAGTTCTCTCTTATAGTGTTTGAATACTGAAAGAGCAAATTATATTGTTAAAAAATTAATGTCAATGCATAGATCATAAGACGAATAGAAAACTTCATATATAGTTACAACTAATAGTGCAAACAACTAGTTACGACATAATATAATAAAGCTGTAACTTTTTTTATAGTGTTGGCAAATGTATATATGTAATAATCTAAATTTTAAATTACATAAAATTTTCAAGAGTTCTAAACATTTTTAATTAAAATATCTGATAACCATATTTAAATCCTATTTTTGAAATATAACAATACAGATAATCATAACCTGTAATATAAATTAGCAATTTTATAAAAGAATACAAATAAAAAAATTATAAATTTATTAAAATCAAAAAAGTAAAAATATATAAATTATTCATAACAAGAATAAAGATTTAAAACAACTTCATATAATTAATGTAATTATAAACTTTTTAAGTTGGCATAAATATTTTTAAAAAATAAGTGAATATTACTATATTAATAAACAATATATAAAATTATAATATTTTTAATTAATAAATTCTAATTTTATCAATTTGCTTAGATTATAATGCTAATTTTTAGCAATCCACTTAGTTAAAATATTTTCGAGTTCATCGGTTTTCAGTGGTTTTAAAAGATAATCATTTATTCCAGATTTGATACATTCATTTTTTATTTCTTCTGTAGATAAAGAAGTTAGAGCAATAATCGGTATGTTTGAAATCGGTGGTCTCATTGCTCTAATTGTTCGTGAAACATCAAAACCTGATATTATCGGCTGAGTATAATAATTACAAATTGTGAGTATTGTATCTTGACAGTTTAATTAAAATATTAAACTTACCAAATTGCATTCAGTTAATATTAATGATATTCTGCAATATTTATTATCTGAATTGGATGAACTTGAGTATGAATATCTTAATAATTTAACTTCAGAATCAATCAATCTAACTGCCTCTTGGCCATTCATAGCAGAAATTGTTGAATAACCAAGTTTTGAAATTTGCTTCATTGTGTTCTAGAATAAAATGAATTAAAGAAATTATAAATAATATGAGTCTATATTATTAAACTATAATTACGCACCTCTAAACTAATAGAATCATCATCCTACAATGTTGTTAGACAATTGTTTAAAACTTATTATATTAAATAAACATGCATTATTTGACCAAAAATAAATACATACCACACATAAAATACACTTGCTCCCGAAATCTTTTCTAGTTATGTCCACATACATATTATGATTCGCATCATTAATCTTATAATCACAATCTGCTACTTGCTTAAGTATATTTGTATTGATTTTGTCAGTAGCATTGTTTTTTTCAAGATACATAATTTGATTAATTAATTTTTTTCTTGTAATTGGAGTGTAAATAACAGAACTGATTTCTCCAACTTTTCTAATTAATTTTTTTGCTAACTTATTCCCTTCATTACCCGGAAATACTATAAAAATTATAGATAGTCTATTATAATTTATATCTAATGCTTTTAACTTTAATGTTATTTTCATAACATCTTCTTGATTATTTTCATAAAGGTTGATGAATGCTTTATCATAAGCAGGTTGATTGTACAATTCCTTATATGTTTGGGCAGCATTAATACCTTCGTCAAAGGTATCGAATGCATCAATTTTTTCAACCATATTAAAATATTTTAACATTGAGTTTCTCATATTTTTGACTGGGTGAATTATTAATATTCGTCTTCTTTGTATAAAATTAGGTAATGTATAATTTATTTGCTTATCAAATTGTGTTTCTAATAATGAGGATGTTGGAAGTTTTGAATTGGTTGATGCTATCGATGATAATAGTTCTATATTCCATGTAAACCAAAATTTACTTCCTTTTCCTAACTGACTTTCTGCATTAATTTCACCTCCATTAATTATTACTAAACTTTTACAAATACTAAGACCAAGTCCTGTACCATCTTGTTTTCTGGTTATTGACATATCACCTCGTGAAAAACTTTTCCAAGCATGCTTTATATATTCAGGGTTCATACTATTATTGTTAAAAGAATAATTAGATAATGTACATGTTAAAACATTAAATATATAGTCATGAGTGGCTCACCCAATGCCAGTATCATATAATTCGATTAAGAGAGTTCCTTTTTTATTCATTTGATTATAAGTTGAACTCATTACGTTGTTATTAATATTTTCTTGTGATAACATTGAAATTGTCAGTACGATTTCACCTTTTTCAGTAAATTTAATTCTAAAAAATTAATAATGAATTAGTATTTTATAAAACAAATAAAAGCAAATATAATTATCTAAATATAATTACGAATTTGATATTAAATGGAATAAAACTTGTTTCAGCCTATTTAATATAAAAAGGTAAGTATTTTTTATTTATTTTATAAGTTGAAATAGTCTTAATTGTCTTAATTATCTTTCAGGATCAGTCCTAACATATTTCGGCAACTTTTCTATATCATAATTTATAATCAAATCAATTTTTTTATTACCTGCCCCTTCTCCAAATGATTCAACAGTGTTATCAAATAATTCGAATAAATCAAATGTTCTATTTATAAGCGTGATTTTTTGCGCTTCTAACTTTGCAGCTTCAAGAATATTATTTATTATTGATAATACTGCATCAGAAGCACGTGCCATTATGCTAATCATGTCTTTTTGATCAGTAGTTAAGTCAACACTTTCAAAAGAAGAAATAATTCCTATGATTGCACCTAATGGTGTTCTTAATTCTATAAAATTAAAATTAATTAATATGATGAAAAATTCAGAAATATTCACAGAGAAGATAATCTACCATGAGAAGTATTTGCTAAAATTTGACTCTTAGTATTATTAGCAATTTCAGCAGCTTTTATTTGAACTTCCTTTTCAAAATTCTCTTCTAATAAATTTATATAAGTAATAGATAAACTTATTTGATTTGAGATTTGTTGTAAAAATTCTATTTCAGAATCGAGCCAAATAGAATTTGGAGATCTATGTACTTTTATCCATCCCCAAAAACCATAATTTAATCCTATTTCTACAGATAACATGGATACATTTTTACAAACAATATCACAATATATATCTAAAGAAATATCATATCCTAAATTATTATTTAAAACACCTTTTGAATTAATAAATGTTTGTAATTCACTCTCATCGTTGTCACTAAGTTCCATAGGTGTATTTTCTGAGTTTTCATATAAAGCAATTATATTATTACTCTCAATTTTAGATTGTTTGTTCGAAATAATAATGATTCTTTCACATGGCAATCTATGATGGATTTCTTCAGTAACATATTTTAATGTTTCTTTCATACTTGACCCAGAAAAAAATTTATCTGAGATTGAAATTAATAATTGTTTTGTTTTTTCTTGCTCAGATTGTTGGAATATTATTTTACGACGAAGAAGTGATAACTGAAGATTAGTGCGAATACGAGTACTTAGATCTCGAGAAGAGAATGGTTTTACTAAATAGTCATCTGCTCCTTTATCAAGGCCTGAATAAAAAATACGGTTAAATATAAAATTTAGACAGTGAAAAATAAATTAACCTAACATATTACCTTTAATTTTGGAATCTTCATCATTTTCTGCGGACAATAATATTACTGGAATCAATTGAGTTTTTATATTGGATCTTAATACATCTAATAACTCGTATCCGTCCATATTTGGCATTTTAATATCTATTAATTTAAATCATATAATTCAATAATTATTGTAAATAATATATATATACATTTATAAAATTACTTACCGCTGAGAATTAAATCAGGTAATTTATTAAGTGTTTTTAAAACTCTTATTGCATCTTGGCCATCACAAGCTTGAAGTATATCAAATTCTTTTAACAAGCCCGAGAGATAATTTCTACAAAATAACCATTAATAATAAGAAATAGCTTGCAAGTATAATTTAATTTCATAAATAAATTATTACCGCATCTCATTATCGTTATCAACAAGTAAAACTTGATACTTTTTTCCAGAAACAGGGTTATTCTCGGGTAAAAGAAAAGAGAACTCTTTCATTAAAGTTTGATCATTATAATCAATTGACAATTGATCTATTATTTCATTTTTGGCATCAAATGTATTATTCTTAGCCCATTGTGAACATTCTTCTAAATAAAGTTGTCGAGTAGTGCAATCACGATTTAGTGATTTTTCAGTATCAAAGTTCATTTGGTTTATTGGTAAATGCTTATATCCTATTGGAAACCAGCATTTAAAGGTTGTTCCTTTATTTACTACTGAGGTTACAGTAATATCACCACCATGACGCGTCACAAGTTCTTTGATGAGTGCAAGTCCTATTCCGGTACCTTCATAACTACGTGAACTTTGAGACTCTACGCGATAAAAGCGCTGGAATATATTTGGAAGTGCGGTTTCAGGGATACCAACTCCTAAATTAATCAAAGACTGAGATTAATACATAAAATATACTTATCTATGTTGTGCACTTCAAATAATTATTAACATGTATCAGACACTTCAAGAACTACCATCTTTTTCTCGTCTTTGTGGTCAATATATAAGCGGATAGTAATACGTCCATTCCAGGTATGTTTTAGTGCATTCGAACCTTTAGTAAACAAACCATCTTAATACAATATGCTTTCACGTTTTAACGAATAGGATATTTTTAAAAAAATTCTTACAAAGGTTAAATATAATTGTTTCATACATATTATGATCTAAATAAATGTTATTATCTACAGCCTGATTAAATTCGGCAGTATTTGGAATATCAATAACGTAATCTAAGCCTAATGTTTTTGCCATGCTTTTAAAGTCTAAAGCCAACTCTTTAGTAAATTCAATTATGTTTGTTTTACGATAATGCGCTTCAAATTGATTAGCATCTATATCTGAAAACTTTATAAGAAGTAGATTACTTTTACCAAGAAATAAAGTGTATTTATTAATTATTATTTAAAACCCAAATTCTATAACTTACTTGTAATAAAATATTAATAAGTTTAAGCAATCGACGAGCATTACGACGTAAAGTTTGAAGGTGCGACATTATTGGCGCTTCTTGTGGACACGCGTTAATTACATCGTCAAGTGGTGAAAGAATTAAAGTTAACGGTGCTGGTATTATAAAAAAAAACATGTTTGAGACTATTAGTATAATACGTTTAAAGGAGCATTTCATAATTTATAATACAATACTTTTTAATTCGTGACTAATTCCTTGAAAGAATGTAACTTTCTGATAATTTAAATCAGCTAGCATTTTGGATTGCTTCCTTTCTTCCTCCATTAGTTTCCCATGTTGCAAAAATATATTCATTTGATTTACAATTAACTATTAGATTATAACGTATTAAAATATTTTTAATAAGTATTATGAAAATTAAATTGAAGTTAATAATAAACTTTTGCATACATGTAAAAATTCCATATATTGCTTATCAGGTGGTCTTAATCGATTGACGCCACAAATCAATATAACTGATAAATTTTGTTCACCGGCAAGTGGGATTTTTGTTAAGAAGAGTACCGCCTGAGATTCGTCCTTTAAAAGAAATTTAATATGTCCACTATTCTTTGTTAAAAGGTGCATTGGCCAAGAATCACATTTTAAAAACGAATAAGTTGTTCCTCGTTTTAATTCTATATATTCATGGCTCTCATTAGTGTCTTTTGATAAGTCAATCATATCATGAGTTTCAGGAAAATAATCAGGATATTTTCTTCCATTATCATCAAAAGTTGTGGCAGTTAGACGAGCAGTTAATTTATGATCGATAAGATATATTAATGCATAAGAAATATCGGCATTATTTTTGCTTAGTATTTTTGTTATAATACTGCAGGCACTTTTTAAAGATTTAATCTCTTCAATAAACATTATACAAACATTAAGTTAATGAAAATATAAGATTTAATAGTCTTATATTATAATTTTAATTATAATTACTAACCAGAAGTCCAACTACCAAT